AAAAACAGTAGGAAGTCAGTATTCCCAGAAGTTAGGATCTGTGGGAAATTTAAGTCTTTTTAATATTAAAGTTATTAAAATGTTTCAGCAAAATATGAAAGAATAGTCTTAAGCAACATTAAAGTTCAAGAATATCCCTAAGTGGGGATTCCATTAATTCCTGTGTATTTAGTTAAAAGTCAGGTATTCTAAGCCAGACATAGTGTATAACTTTAGCACTCAGAAAGCTGAATTGAGAGGATGTGCAATCAAGGCCAACCTAGGATGCAGTAATAAAACCCTGTCTCCAAGATAAAGCAAAGATAATTCTTAAGTCATGTATTACTTTAAATATATGGACACACAAAAGATTTGAGTGATATAGCAATTCAACAGGTTTTGGACATAGGTGCTCAATCTTTTTTTTTTTTTTTTTTTTTTTTTTTTTTTTTGAAAGGGTCTCCCTGTAGCCACAGCTGACCTGAAACTCATTATATAGACTAGGTTACCTTTATCTCACAGATATCCACCTGCTTCTGCCTACTGAGTGCTGGGATTAAAGGTGTACATCGCCATGCCCAATTGGGTGCTCAATCTTAATGGAGTCCCAAGGAGTTATCTAAAGGTGATCTTGAAGTACAGAAAAGCATCACGTCATGCTTAGCCCAATTCCTGTCTACAGGAAGTGCTTAGTTCTCAAAAGATTTTCATTTTTTAGCTTTATTATGTTTTGGCAACCTTGTGTAAGTTGCCAAGTTCCATATTGATAATATTAGAAAACCTCAGGAAAATAAATAGAAGATAAGTAATGCACTGAACAAGAAAAAAAAAATGAATACATTTAAGAGTCAGAGGAATATCAGGATTCAGACAGAAAGTTCTTCAACAAACATGCAAAATGGTGTGTGTTCAAATCATATCATCACCACAGATGTCACTTAACCTGTGCTGCAGCACTTTTACTTCAGTAGCAGGGTAGGTAGACTTGCTGAAAATCAGTTCTGTGTTGAGCACTAATTTAAATAATCCCTTCCCATCCTAGATTGTGTTTATGGAAATTAACTTCTAAAGGGATATA